CATCCAACGTTTATTTGTGAAAATATGATCTACAAGTCAAAGCTAGACTTGCAACACCATTTGCAGATGTACTCTATATTGAACAATTTTCAGTACAGAACACTTACATCAAACAAAAAGTTTCTTCATGTTGTGTGTTTGGATGATCATTGTGCGTGGACAGTGCGGGCTGTTCGTTTAGAGCGTTCAAATCTTTTCCAGATTCGAAGGTGTATTTCTTTGTCATTTTAGAGTTATTCACATTGTGGAGTCTATGTTATATGTACTATTGGATTTTATTTTGTTGATGTGTAGGTTTGATTCCTCTCATTCATGCTCTGTTGATCTGCGCGAAGGTGACCATAGACAAGCTACATCTAGATTGCTATCAGATCTTGTTCTGCATCGCTATACGGATGCTTCTAAAAAACCATATGGACCTAATGATATACGAGAAGACATGAGGAGAGATTATGGTATTTCTATGTCATATAAGAAGGCATTGAGTGTAAAAAATAAAGTAATGAGCAAATTGTATGGAGCTGATGATGATTCGTACCAGTTACTGCCATCAATGTGCCATGTATTGGCCCAAAAAAATCCAGGATCTGTTATATCTCTCACAACCAATGAAAATGACCAATTTAAGAGTATGTTTTTCTCGCTATGTGCATGGAGACAAGCTTGGATTCACTGCTTCCCAATTCTAATTGTAGATGGTACATTCCTGAAGGCATATTTTCGTGGTACATTATTGACCGCCTGCACACAAGATGCAAACCGGCAGATTGTCCCATTGGCTTTTGGCATTTGTGACACTGAGAGTAAGGAGACCAGGATGTGGTTTTTAACCAATGTGAAACGTGCACTAACTGAACGTAGTAACCTGTACATTATATCTGACCGCCATGAGGGCATTATATATGCTGTTGAACAAGTCTTCCCCTCCGTTTCTCACGGGTATTGTTCTGAGCACATACTTCGCAATATCAAATCCAAATTTAGAGGGAAATCAGAGGTGATTCAGTGGAAATTTAGAGGTGCTGCTCGGGCAGCTACTGTCAAGGAATTCGAAGAGTATCTTCAACTGCTAGATGATGAAGATCCTCGAATAAGGGAATACCTCAACAAAATTGGGAATTCAAAGTGGTCTAGATGCCATAGTGACAAATCTCGTTATTCTAGTATGACATCAAATCTCGCTGAGTCATTGAATAATGTCAATAATAGTGCTAGGGAGTTTCCTGTTGCAAAGCTTGTTGAATTCATTCGTGATAGGATGCAGCTGTGGTTTCATGAACGGTCAGAAATTGCTAGTTCCACTCGCACCCCTCTTCCTAAGAAACGTGAGGCTGTCCTAATTCAAATGCAACGTGAAGCTTTTCGTATGAAGGTATGCTTTTCAGAAATTAGTCATTCTTATATTATTGCTTATGGAGAGTGATGTTTAAGTTGTTTCTATTCTATATTTTTGTATAAAACACAACATACTTGGTTGGGCACTCTAGGCCTTCTATTTATTTCTTTAATATTGTGGCAATCTA